GTCGGCCCAACGTATTTCCCTTCTCGTTTTTTCGGCTCTTTTGGTGCTGCGCGCCATGCAGCAGCAGCAGCAGCAGCAGCAGGCCGGCCCGGCAATCGTGAATTCATGATGCATATGAAACCGAACTTGGCCGAAGGTCGCAGCCAGGGAGAAAGCGGCGCTAGCAACTAATTCATACAGGACCGCGAGCGCGGCGAGACTTGAGAGACTTGCTTGCGCATTAGCTTATCTTCTTATCGCTCGATGACCTTTCTGACCAACGCCTGATCTGACGGCTTGTGCAGCGGCGACGGCTCACATTCTTAGCTTTGAGGACGGGGAGGGGAAGAAGCGATGGTGGATGCTGCATGTACCCCGCATGTGACCGAGCTGACGCCCATGTTCCTGATCATTAGGCTTCACGTCTAGACACGCCTTTCTTCCTTTCCCAGTTTCAGCAGCTTAATTGCAAGTTTTCGCGAAGAGCGCAGCATCGCATGTTGTGTTGTCACGATCGATGAGCACATGCAAGTGCTTTGCTTGCTCTGGTCTGACGCGCTTCACGAGATGTCCAGGGCGTCAGATCGTGGCTTGCGATGGCCTCAAGGCTGACGCCTACCAGCAGAGTGTTTGCCTTCACACCAGCGTCACGTCCCTCTTGTCTCCTTCATCCTCGTCCTATCAAACGTGTTCGGTGTGGCGCGCACCATGCACATCTTCCAAACGCACCCTCCCAACCGCGGTCTGACGCTTGATCACGTTGCAGTCACGCGTCAGACCGCAGTCACCAGTCTACCATGACCGAAATGCGTGAATGGTCGACGCTGTGTAGCATGCTTGTTGCGGTCTGACGCGTCCTTGTCAAGTCAGGAGCGTCACATCAGAGGTTCTTCCTTGCACTCTTCGCTCATTCTCGTCGGCAAGGTGCGCGAATCGAACGATAAGCCAAGGCGCCCCGAGCAGGCCAATCCAGGCCCTCTCACCCTCGCCCGCCACGCAAAAGGTTCTGGACCTTCCTTTCCCCTTCAGGCCTGCCTCGACTACCTTTTGGTGTATCATTTCTTCGTCATTAGCCGCAAACATTCTCTGACATTCGTGATTTGCTCCTTCTGACCTGACGCCTGTACACATCTCCTACCTTCTTCACATCAGTCTTGAGCACAATCGATCGTGCAACTCGTTTCTTATCTACGTTCCAGCCACAACTCCTCCGCTCGCCTTTCACGCATCCATCCCGCACCCTACGACACAACCTCTTCCTCGCAACACATTGGCCTGTCAGACTCAAAGAGTGGTACATAAGAAGCTGCAAATCAGAAGCATTACCCTCTTCCTTCTACTCTGCATCGCAAACCACACGCGCCCTCTTCACCATCCACCTCACCTCACCTCACCTCACCTTACCTCACCTCACCTCACCTCACCT